TAAAACTGTTTCAAAGTACTGTTCACTGATATGAAGTTTTAAAATATAGACAGAATGATATCCCCGAGAATATGCTAAATAACAATGAAAGAGCCATACTAATGACTGACCTTGTTTTTATACTGTGAAATGCATAAAGCAGGATTTTGAAAAACTTATGTAAATGTCTTCTAAAGTGTATGCTCATTTCTAAAACACACACACACACACACACACACATGCACACATACACACATATGTACACACACACACACACACACACACACACACACCATTTTAAAGGAGTTTGTGGAGATAACCATAGAAAAACAAAGTAGCAAAGACAGTTTCTAAGTTAAAACATAGCAATTTAATATAGAAATCAAAAAGAGGAGAAAATTTAGTAGCAAAAAAATGTTAGCAAGTAGGTAGTCTCTTGGTTATACCTTGTACGGTTTTGTAGTTTCATAGCATGGCCAGTATCATAAAGCAGACTTGGAGCTTGCTAACAACTGACATAACATCGTCACATGACTTAGAGCCTGCCTGAGATGAAAGCCCCTGTTTAGCATAGGTGTGCTCCATGCTGAGTACCACAGAGTCTCACTAGGCAGCTCTGCTGAGTTTTCAGACCTTGCAATGGCTTTCTAGAGTATTTCCTGAAACAGTCATCAGTGAGGGCTGACAACATGCCACTAGAATCCACCCACCAAACTCTAGCCAGCACTGCACAAGCATTCATTGTGAGCATGGAGCACTCTCGTGTGCCTTTTTCAGACATTTAGAAATATCTGCGAGTGTCTGTGACTGTGATTTCCTGCAGTTTAGCTCTTGATGCTTGCTTGGGAGTATAAAATTATGTGCTACTCAGAGTGCAGATATAATCTGTTTTTGGAACATAAACTTCATAAATTCTTCCATAAATGTCTGTTTGATCATAGTATATCCATGGTTGAAAACAAGAATGAGTGTTTCTGGCTTATGTGTCATGTCAATCAAGAACTGTCTAGGCTCTAGCCCACATGCATATGATCATCATTCATCACTAGCCATGGGGACAGACATAAAAGAGAATGTGCCAAGCACATACTGGCTCTTACAGTTCCAACTGAAAGTCACATGATCATTTCTAACTTGTGAAGACTTAGAAGGGTAATCTTATCATTGTCTGGAAAGAGAGAAAGAGAAAGAATTTTGTGAAAAATCACTGATAAACACTATACAACAATGTTGTCAAGCCCATTGCATATTCCCAACTTTTAGAAATAAGACACAGGAAATGCACACACTCAGGTCTGTTTCTCTAACACACTTATGAAACCTGAGTGACTGAAGGGCTCAAAGTGTGAACTACAAAATTGTGTTTCTCGAGTTGAATGTTAACAATTCAGGAAATCCATTGTGCATTTATATTTTTAAAGTGCAACAAGAGAAAGAAAACCTATGCGTGTCTGTTGAGAAATGAGCTTGCAGCAATCTCTAGCATACATATACATGACAAAAGAAAAAAATGCATTGTATCAGGGACAGTCCTTTAGAACTCTAAGGATATTATAATAATTATCTGACATGATAATCACTTAGATTATTTTAAGGTAAAACTGTTGAATCATCAGTTATTTTCTGTTTATAGCAAAGAGGGAAAGGGAAAATTCCAAAATTTCTTTGACTTGCAAATATTTTCAAATATTTATAATTTTAGAAATCTAAGATTCTTGTCTGCATATTATTACCAAGTGCAATTGGTTTGCATGTTTAATAAGGAAGAAATAAGTAAATGTAAATTATATCCCATGGGATATGACTAAAATTTCTGATGCACAATTCTCTTTAAATGAGTCTCCGTTGACAGTTGTGTAGCTTGGTCTGTTTAAGGGGCACCAGAATAAGGATCTATCCTTGGTGCATGAGCTGGCTTTCTGGAGCCCACTACCTGTGGTGGGACACCTTGCTCACCCTTGATGCAGGGGGGAGGGGCTTGGTCCTGCCTCAACTGAATGTACCAGGCTCTGCTGACATCCCATGGGAAGCCTTACCCTTTTGGAAGAGGGGATGGGGGGTGTGTTGGGGAGAAAGGCTGGGAGGGAGTAGGAGGAGGGATGAGAGGGGGATCTGTTTTGGTATGTAAAATGAATAAAAAATTTCTTAATAAAAAAAGAAAACAAAAAAATGAGTCTCTCTTATTGCAGAAACTTTGTATGGTCAGCTTTCAAAATAATAGCCATTGTCACCCGAATTCTCCTGTCAGGCAAGTAGGGTTAGGTGACACATTTGTGACTATTTTAGCCTTCAACTTCATCACAGTGTTCAGAATTAGATGTGGTGAAGAGTCTTATTAGTTAATATCTGAATCCTGATAGTGATAAACAAAAAGAGTTTGGTTTGGACTAACATCTCAAACATGCTTGTGAATGATCCAAAGGAGAATAAAAGATGTACATCTTATAGAGTAATGTATTAGTCCCACTGCTTCTATTATGTAGTAAATCCTTGCATGTTACTTATTTTAGCATGATACATAAGTTGATAAAAAGATGATAGTAATATTGTTTGGCAACTTGGACCAATAAAATGTGAGTATTTGGTTGACACCATCAATTAAGTTTAGCAAAAATATGGCATCTTGCTGATGCTGTGAAGGCGATAGAAGAAACCACCCTACAAATAACAACTCATGAGAAATCCTGCTGAAACACATTCACTGAGCCACTGTACCCCGCATCGACAAACAGCAGTGTAAGACAGTAGTCCTTCCTGATTACTGAAATTTGAGGCACCCTGGGTGAAAGGAAACAGAGGCCCAGAGACCAACTTCCTTGACATTTTCCTTTGATCCTTAGAAATAATCCCTGGGATATCTCCACAGTGCTCAGTTTAATAACCAGTGGTTAGTGGGGAAAGTGGTGAAATCAGAAGACTTGAGGTTTAGTCCTGGTTTGGCCAATCATATATCTTGTACATGGATTCTCCATCATATATCTTAGTACATGGAGTCTCCATCATATATCTTGTTCATGGAGTCTCCATCATATATCTTGTACATGGATTCTCCATCATATATCTTAGTACATGGAGTCTCCATCATATATCTTGTTCATGGAGTCTCCATCATATATCTTGTACATGGAGTCTCCATCATATATCTTGTACATGGAGTCTCCATCATATATCTTGTACATGGAGTCTCCATCATGTATCTTATACATGGAGTCTCAACCACAACAGAGCCGTGACCCTCTTCTTTGTAACCCTGTTCACAATTACACTGGTTTCCATGCGGTTCTCTTTTGTTTTAGGCATGAGGTAAGGTTAATCTGTCCTGATGAAAGTTAAATGTTTTGAGTAATTTACTATAAAAACAGACCTGCGAGTTGTAGCAGGCGAATGAACAGCTTATTACTTAAATATGATGTTTATTTTTAAGACAGGTTCTTGCCATACTGCTCAAGCTGCTCTCAAAGACTCAGGCTCAAACAATCCTCCTGCCTCGGTCTGCAGAGTGCTTGAAACTCAGTTATATACTGCTGTACTTAGTTCCTACATAAAAATCTAAAACTCACAGAATAAGGCTATGTATTATTGAAAAATGCATACAAATGGAACCAATGTAGAAGACACACTGGATAGTACACACCAAATTCATTTGGAGAAGGGAGAAGACTATGAAGGAAAACTAGGAAGCTTCCACTTGATACACATAAAATTTTAAATTTTATTTTCAAATGATAAAAATTAATGTATATGTATAAACTTATGGAGTGTGCAAATGGCACAGTTTTTTTTAGTCAATGTCTATCTATTTTTAGACCTCAAAAAGCAAAAGCAACAAAAAAAAAAATAAGTGGCAATAAAGCACAGTATGGGGAGTTGAGCTTAACCTGGAGCTGGCAAAGTGGCCAAGCACCAGAATAGATGGTTAAGGCAATGAGCCAAAAACCAGAGCCAGGGCCTTAAGTGCTTAGTGTGATCAGGAGGCTAACCTGAAGTGAGTACCAGGAAAGCACTGGTGTTCCACAGTTCCCTCGTGGGTGGCACGAGGCGCTGAGGTCAGATGAGTAAGCACAAGTACTGGGGATTGACTCACCACACAGTTAAGACTGCACAAAATGCTGACCCTCCAAGGTTTTTTGTGTTTTGTTTGGTTTTGGTTTTTGGTTTTTCGAGACAGGATTTCTCTGTGTAGTCTTGGTGCTTTGTCCTGGATCTTGCTCTGTAGACCAGGCTGGCCTCAAACTCACAAATATTCTCCTGGCTCTGCCTCCCGGGTGCTGGAATTAAAGGTGTGCACCACCGCCACCCTGCTACCCTCGAAGCTTTAAGGCTGCAGCGCAGATGGAAGGACTGGAAATGAAATAGTGATGGCTACTGAACTGACAATAAGGAAAGTCTTCAAGATCTTCTGAGTAGGAAACCTCAAGACGGAGATACACCAAGACCACAGATAGGGATAAAAGCACCATCTGCCAGGGGGCAATAAACTTGGAGAGCAGTGTCTGCAATGCATCAGGGCTGGGCACTAGGTACAGTGGAGCAGCATGTCACCCCACCAGCCCTGCCAAAGAAAAAAGCCCTATGTTACTGCCTGTGGTTATGTCATGCCTGAAGAAACTTACCAAGGTTGTTGTCAGGAGCAGGACTCCTTAGATTCTCCATTTGTTTGTGTTTGGAAATCATATAAGCAATATTCAACTTCATTTTACATCTGGAGGCTTCTGATTTCAGTACTTCTGGTGATAAATGAAAAGAGCTAAACAGAAGAGCAACAAATAAAATACTGTCAACCCTGTTGACCCAGAAGACATCCATAGAATATATCCCTGCAATCAGAAATGCACAATGTCATTAGCCGACAGCACTTCTGTTCAAGATTGTGCTAGGGGGTCTAGCCAGAGCAGGTAGGAGAGAGAGAGAGAGAGAGAGAGAGAGAGAGAGAGAGAGAGAGAGAGAGAGAGAGAGAGAGAGAGAGAGCAGGTTTTTTTTCTTTTTTAGAAAGCTAGAAGTAAAACTATTTTACTCACAGATGAGAGAATGTTACATAATGAGACTCCTAAGAAGGAAACTGTGGGGAAAAAAACATCATGAGAAATAACAAGCACACTCAGCAAGTGTGCAAGATATGCGGTCAGTTAATAAATCACATTTATTTCCATGAACCAGCTGTGATGGTTTGAAGGAAAATGGCCCCCAAAGGGAGTGGTACTATTAAAATGTGTGGTCTTGTTGGAGGAAGTGTGTCACTGTGGAGGCGGGCTTTGAGGTCTCATATGTGCACCAGATACTACACAGTGTCTTAGACCACTTACTGTTATCTGCAAGATGTAGGACTCTTCACTGCTTCTCCAGCACCATGTCTGCCTGCATACCACTATGTCCCACCATGATGATAATGGACTGAACCTCTAAACTGTAAGTGAGCCACTCCAATTAAATGTTTTCATTTATAACAGTTGCCATGGTCATGGTGTATCTTCACAGCAATAGAAACCCTACCTAAGACACCAGCTATGGAGAGTCCACAAATGAAATCAATAAAATGTTTTCATTTAAAATATTAAATTATTTATAAACAAATTAAGCCACCAGGAACCCCCCCAAAAAAAACACCCCACAGTTTAAAAATACACACTGTAAATCATTGAAGGGCACCACAGGGCTGTATAATGTAGCCTATGCTTGTAGAACTTGAGTTTTAATGTCTAGGCTGATCTACAGATTTGGTGCAAGCATATGGAAAGCTCAGTGTTCCTTTTGCTAATATTCACAAGCTCACCCTACAATTTATGTGAACATGCAAGAGGCCCAGAATATCTAAACTATTTTGAAAAAGAAGAATAAATTTGGAAGATTTACATTTAGCTGCCTTAACCTTGCTACAAAATTATACCACCCAAAAGAGTGATATTGGCACAATGATAGACCATAAGTCAACTGAATAAAACTGAAGAACCTCAAGAGAAACCCTGACATTTATGATCAATGCATAAGTATATGAGGATAGTTTAATGGAGAAAGAACAGTATATTGACTAAATGGTGCTGGAAGGTTGAGACAACCATGTCCAGAATAATTAAGTTGAACACTTTGTACATACTGTATATAAACACTCTGAAGCAAATGGAAGAGTTAAAAGTTGTATAACTTGCCATTTCTGCGAGAACCCCGGAAGGATGTTGGTGTAGAGGACATTCACTACCATGAATTCTGGTGCATTGCCAAAACCTCAGATGCATGGTCTTCTGGCCAAGCGCCTGCGGGTTCACATTGTTGGTGCATTCATTATGGCCCTGGGAGTTGCCGCTTCTTATAAGTTTGATGTGGCTGAACCCAGAAAGAAGGTGTATGCGGATTTCTACAGGAATAATGACTCCATGAAGGACTTTGAAGAGATGAGGAAGGCTGGTATTTTCTAGAGTGTGAAGTGACTTCAGAATGTACAGAATTCTTTGGATTGCATTCCATAGAAGTTCATTGCTGACCTGTGTTCCTGAACTATGAAACATGAATATGTGGGCTAAGGAGTAGTTTACCTCAATAAACAATCAACAATTATATGGACAAAACAATGTTGTATAACTCTTAGTAGGAAATGTAGATATTAATCTTTTTAAATATGAGTTTGGAAATGATTTCCTTTTTTAATGCAAGTCAGAAAATAAAAGATAAACAGGTTGGACTTCAGGAGAATAAGAAAAGGAGGAAGAGAAGGAAGAAGAAAAAGAAGAAACATGTTGTAAATTATACTATTAAGAATGTGAAACGAGCTAGGTGGTGGCACATGCCTTTAATCCCAGCACTCGAGAGGCAGAGCCAGGCAGATCTATGTGAGTTCGAGGCCAGCCTGGGTTACAGAGTGAGTTCCAGGATATCAAGGGCTGTTACACAGAGAAACCTATCTTGAAAAAACAAAAAAAGAAAAGGAGGAGGAGGAGAAAGAGGAGGAGGGGGAGAAGGATGGGGAGGAGGAGGAGGGAAAGGGGGAAAGGAGGAGGGGGAGGAAGAAAAAAATGAAAAGAACTGCTGGAGAGATGGCTCAGTAGTCAGGAACACTTGCTGCTTCTTCAGAGGAACAGAGTTCAGGTCTTAGTACCTGAGAGAGCCAGGGGAGAATATATAGCCATCTGTGCCCACACTACATGGATCACAACTGCCTGTTACTCCAGTTTTAGAGTACCTGTCATCCTCTTCTGGACTCTGTTGTTAGTTACATGAACATCACACACACACACACACACACACACACACACACACACACACACACACACACACACACTCGTGTGCACAATACACCTTTAACAAAAGACAGTGAAAAGAAATAATGTATATGAGAATGTGTGGATATCATGTCTGATAAGGGATGTATATCTAGAATGTATGATGAACATTTACAACCCAGTAAGAAGAGAAACAACCCACTTTAAAAAAGCAAATATATACAAATATATACCAGACAATAAATGCAGTTAACTGGTAAGTACATGAAAAGATCAACATTCTTAATCACTAGGGAAATGTAGACCAAACCCACGAAGTTAGTTCATTTAACATCCATGAAGATGACTATCATAAAAAAAAATGGGCAATAGCAGGTTTTGATAAGGAGGTAGAAAAATTGGAGAACTTACACATTGCTGATGGAAATGTACAGCAGCAGTACAGTACTCCCTAAAAGTGCTGGTGATTTCTCAAATTGATAATGTCAAACATAGAGTTACCATATGGCTCAGCAACTGCACTCCTAGGTGTAGAACCAAGAAAAATGTAAACACATGTTCTCATATAATAAACCTTGAAATCATTATGCTAAATTAGAGAAAACAATTGCAAAAGACTGTGAGTTGCATTATCCCATTATATGAATTCTCTCTAATTGATTTATAGAGATAAAAATTACATTAGTGTTTGCCTGTGGCGACGAAGGATTATGGAATGACTGTTCCTCTTTCTGGAGTGTCTTCTGGAGATATTAAAACCTAAAAATGACTGTGGTGCTGGCTGTATAACTATGGTGTAAAGTAGAATATTGAATTGTATTCTTTAAATGAAAATGTGTCATGGCATGCAAATTACATTGTAGCAAAGCCGTTTACAAGGTCATGTAATAATTATGATTCCAGTAACAGTTGCTTATATTGAATTAACCTTCCAACACATAGTGGTCACAGAAACTGAAAAACATATAAAGCCACAACCAAAAAAAACAAACTAACAAAACAAAACTGGAAACTGACAAAGAGCCAGAAAGTGAAAGGAATTTAATCTCTGAATAAAGGGACAAGAGATATGGGGTCTACAGGGATTCAGTTGATTTATAGAGACAAACAGTACATTAGTTTTTCCCTATGGCAATGAAGGACTATGGAATGACTGCTCCTCTTCATGGGATATCTTCTGAAGATAGTAAAATCAGGGGAAAAAAAAATCTGGTTTACATAGTGCATGGAGGTCAAATACTGGGAGCCTTGCTTCAAATGGGTCTGATGACCTGGAATGGATGTGTAAAGTTGGCGCAATGAAGAAACTGTGACCACCTTTTCAAACAAGTGGCCCCAGAGAACCTGGGCTGTTTATGTTTATACAATTTCAATGGTTTGCATGGAACACTTTACAATCAGATCTGTTTCCTTAAGTTTCTAAAAATGGTTACAATAATTACCAGTTTGTTCCTTTGTTTCTTTCCCCTTCCATCCCCCAACCTTCCCAGCGTTAACCGTTACCTATTTGATCCATAGCTCTAATGTTAGATCCATAAGCAGTGCTATAAGCAAGGAAGCTTTCTAACCAGGCACACCTACAGGTAGGGCAGTGTGCCCTGTTGGCATTTAAAAAGCATCAGTCTGTTTGTCTTGAGGTATCAGAACCCAGAGGTAAGCTCTGCGAGGGAAGCTGGAAATGAAGGGAGTGAATTGTGGGAGAGAGCGAGCCAGGGGAGAGTATATAGCCATCTGTGCCCAAACCCACGTCAGCTGTGCAGTGGTTTGCACAGTGGCGAAACTGATGAGAACAGCCACGGAGATGTGAAGAGAACACTGCCATCCAAGGGCTCAGGAAAGAGTATTCCAAGAAGGTCAGAATGAAAAGGGACCCCCTCCCTGCAGATGGGGTTCTAACCTCATTGTTGATGTGGTGGTGCCCACTGGACTGCAGAGAAATTTGCCAGGTTTCTCAAGCAGAGCTGGTCCTCAGTGGTCAAGCAGGCAGGAAACACGAAACGAAACCTGCAGCCCAGAGGAGGAAGGCTGATAAACTGGAGGCAGTGGAAACCCGCTTAAGAAGTGGAGAGCACTTGGCAGACCCCCAGATTGATGAAAGGTGAGCCGCAATTATAACACTAGAGCTGCAGCTCAGAGATGAAGATACAAGTAGGAAGAAAGAAACAATTGGGAAACTGATTGAAAAAAACTAGTATGAGGGCCAGAGTGACAGCTGTAAGTACAGTGCATGTCATACAGGCATGAGGACCTGAGTTTGATTCCCTAGAGCCCACATGGGCCTGGGGGCAAATGCTTGTAATCCTAGGGTTGGGAGACAGAGAGAGATGCATCCTTGGACATTATTGGCCAGCCATCCTAGCCTGCTTGGTGAGCTACAGGCCAATGAGAGACCCTGTCTCAAAAGACAAAGTGGAAAGTGGACAGTGACTTAGGAATGACAGCTAAGGTTGTCCTCTGGCTTCTACACACAGGTTCACACATATGCATGCGCACACACACACACACACACACACACACACACACACACACACACGTACATTCACACGAATGTGTGATTCTATTAGTATCAGATTATATGACTTAAAGAAAAAGGATACCTGGGTGCTAGTGAGGTGGCTGGATTGGATAAGGCGCCTGCTGAGTTTGACCCAAGAGACTCAAATGGTGGAAGGAGAGAACTGTTACTTCCAAGTTGTTCCTTGATCTCCCTCCATATGTAATTTTTTAAAATCATTCTGGTATATGCCTTTAATCCCAGCACTCAGGAGACATGAGGCTCGCAGAACTTGGTGATTTCGAGAGCAGCCTGGTCTATATAGCAAGTTCCAGGCCAGCTAAGGCTACAGAGTGAGACCCTGTCTCAAGAAGATTTTTTATAGTTAAAATACTTACATAAAATAGGGATATTTTATGTAATGAAAAAACAGTCTGATCATCTAGAAGCCATGAAAATCCTAAGCATGTGCCCCAACAACAGACTTCAAATGAATAAGATTTGAAAGATAGTAGTATAAAGCTAAAAGAATAGATAAATATTCATCAGATTAGAGATTTTTTTACAGCCCTCTATAATAAATAATACAAACATACCAAGAAAATAAACAGTGATGTAGAAGATTTGAAAAAGCTTAGCTTAGCTATAATTTGTAGCCCATTATGCCTAACATCAGAAGAATGCATATTCTCTTAAAGTACCCATGTAATGTTTACAAAGGTAGCAATCAATCTGTGTACCATAAAGTTGAATACCAATAACTTCAGGTACCAATTATAATAAGTACATTCTATTAGTTCAATTAGAACTTAATGAGTAGTCAATAGTATGTTTGGTAGAAAAGCCTCATGTAATTGGAAATTAAACAATTTGTAACATAAAAGTGTTGTTGAACTTGGTGAGGTCACAACCTTGTGCCCCAAGTCAGGTCCAGCCACCTGTCCTCAGTAAGTCAACTGAAAGAGACAAATAAAAACAGGAAGCAGGAAAAGGAGTTTTCTTCAATGTGGCCACATTGGGAAGAGAGCCAAAGAGATCCATGCCAACTCCTCAAGCCCTTCTTCAGGGTCATGAAGTGAGATCAAATTTAAATAGAGGACTAAGAATGTGTGCACATCTAAGTATCAGCTCAGGATGTGGTTCTGCCCATCATTAACCCCTCATTGTCTGGTTTTCACTCTCATCCTGTAGAACTGTGTGAAAACCCTTGCATGGAGACAAGTCTCCGCTCTGGCTGGTTCTTTTTCTTTCTCTCCTCATGAGATGCCTGGTTAAAGGCCCATTTCTTTGGTGTCCATTTTTTTTTAATAGTCAGATAGTCAGATTGAGAGACACAAAGTGTTTCTTTAAAGCATCTTAATTTGTGTCAGGACAGTTACAAAATCATAATAGAAGTAAAGAATATTTCAGATTAAACAATAAAGAAAATGCAAGGTTTCTAAATTTGTGGGATGTGATCAAAGCAGTGTTCTTAGGGGACTGTGTAGAGCTAAATGCTAATGTTAAAAATATGAACTATGATTTTAACTTACAAATTGAGAAAAAGAAAAAATTAAACTCAAAATAATTCAAGGAGAAAAATAAAGAACAATATCTTAGAAGTCTACAACGAATAGATGAAATTAAAACCAAGCAGTTTTTTCTAAACCACAGAGTTCATAAATCAAGGAAAAGGGAACATACCAATTGCCAATATTGGGTACAAGTCCTGCAGACACTGAAAGATGATGAGGCAGCACGGTAATAAAAACCTCAAGCCAGTAAAACTACACAGTGGATCTGCAACGAATAAGCTCACCAAACCCAACAGAAGATGAGCTAGAAAACATGAACTCACATCCCTTAAATGGCATTTATA